GCAAATGGGAAGTCAAAAACTTTTTTGGCGCTTACCCTGTCTTATATTTGTAATAGTTGTGCATACATGAAAATAATGCATTTGTAAAAGCACTTCTTGTAGCTTTAATTTAGATTTGCAGATGATACTATATGTGGTGTGGATCTAGGAAGAGATAAATATTCCAGTCTGAAAAGATAATCCACCAAAGCAGAAATCCATTAAAGTCCTTAAATTATTCCATCTAAATTTCTTTTTTTAGTATATTACCTTGGAAAATTTTATGTCAACATAAAATACCACGCTTCTATCATTTTCATAGGTTAAATGTAGCAAATAAAATTCTTCCTCCATAAAGTAAATCTTGAGTATGTTGGATTCAAATATATGCCAATGGCCTTTCTTGCCTAACATTATTTTCTATAGTATTTTTCATCATTTCTGATTCCCCCAAACACACATAATTATTCTTCCGTTCTGACCACTTCAGGCTTTCTTACCATTTTTGCCTCATCTCTTTTTTTACAGCTGGCTGTTTTCTTGTATTACATATTTGTTCTACTCTCAAAATTGAATTGCCATCTCATAGAGCTAGGTCTTTACTCCCCGGAATTCTATAGAGCAAGAGAAGAACACTGGTGATATAAGTAGCAAAAACAAAGCATTTACTTTCCCTGGAATATAATAAGAAGAATGCCACAGACCCTATATAATAACAAAATTTCATTTCTATTTCTTTTTCCAAAAACAGGAATATAAATATTTAGTGCCAAAAAAGCTATATTTGTTGAGATGTCTTGCATATTGTATTTCCTAAAGCGAATGGAGTTACAATCACACTTGAAAATGTACTAGTTGTTAAAACAAAATTAAATTTCGACAGACCCATTATTTAATAAATTATGCTGTGGCTAGGAACGCCCAGTAAACTGATTTGCTAAGCAATATGTTACACAAAATCTCCAACCTAGATACCTTGTCCTTCAACTCTGCATCTTAAATATATAATAGTAAATGCTCATGATCTTTGAGTCATTCTCCAAAAATATTATTGGGTTACGACTAAGTCATTGAACTTGATTTGTATCTACGTTAGTTAATTAACCTTAACATTTTACAGAACAGTCAAGCTAATGTTGGACTTTGGAAGACCAAACAACATTTTGTAATAAGTATTACCATTAAACTAGCATCATTAAAAAACGGCCATTAGCAGCACTTCAAATTTGTGGATATCACCTACCAAACCACAAATCAAATTAGCATGTTCTTCATTCTTTATTAGCTGTTGACATTAGACAGAATTCCCGGTTAAAAGTCAAGATTAGCTGGCATGGGTTTAGTATTTGTCATTCATCGAGTTTATACAAAAGCACGTGCTAAATGTTAATTATATCTATTAATGGGTCTTTGCATTGTAATTGTAAAATGTCTTGTCGAGAATACATTTTATTTAAGACTACAAGCACCACTCATCACTTATCAGTATCTTTGTCAGATACATATTTTGATCTTAAGCAAGGTCAAATTGAAATAATTCAACTCATTTATATAAACATGTGAATGAATAGGTACAGATATGCTTATATCAATTTAAATGACTTCTACAAAAATAAGGTCAAAGATTAGGAATCTACCTTGATCTTGAAACCAAAGAATCAATAAAGTTGACTCTTTTTGATCTCCATCCTTGATCACATTGGATCCAAGGAAGAAATGGTTACCTTGGTTAATGGCTTCTTAAAATAGGTAAGTTTGTTTTTTGTTTTGTTTTTGTTTTTGTTTTTTTTTAAGGCAAGGAAGATTTTATTTAAGACTACTGCAAAAGAGAAGAGAGATTAAACTCAATTCTATAGAAACAAAAGGTTGGAGAATTTTCAGTGCTGAGTGAAATCACAAAAAAGTATTAAAGGACAGGAAGGGAATATAATCCAGGCTTTTCCAAGAATCTCTTTATGGTGTTCTGGAAAGAATCATAAATTCTGACTTCATGCACAGCATTAAACAAAGACAAAGATTTTTTAAGTGGTTAATAAAGTTCAGTGGAATCAACAGTCCTACCTATACATCGCAGGTTTCTAAGAAAGTCACCTCTCAAGATTAACTGTATAATTGGATGAGTTATCAATACATTCTTTAAGAGAAACTGGGTTGAGTCCATGTCGTTCACCTTCACTGCCTGATGATAAGCTCTGTGGCTTGGATCTGATAGTGTGGATCTGGCATTAGGAACAACACCTGCGTGGCTCAGTTGGTTAAGTGTCTGACTCCTGATATTGTTTCAGGTCATGACCTTGTAGTCATGTGATCGAGCCTTGCATCTGGCTCATGCTGAGCACGGAGACTGCTTAGGATTCTCTCTTACCCTCTGCCCCTTCCCTGATTGTTCATTCGTTCCCTCTCTCTCTCTCAAAATAAATAAATAAAATTAAAAAAAAAAAA